AAGGCATTGAAATTACTGAGCTGTTGTCCTACCTCCTCCTCACCTGTCTTTGTAGCTGTAAACACAGTGTCTGCCTGTAAATAACAGTTTGCTGCACCTTTAAGCACGTTCCCTAACAAGAGGCAGTGATTTACTGAGGTGATAAGCTGTAACTAATGCTAGGGTATCATAATAGGTAAATAGATTAGCATCGTGCTTCTCTGTATTTTGCTTTCTAGGGAGCCCACTGGCTCATGCACTCAGAGATGCTTACTATGGCACTTTGCTCCTTGCCGAGTTAAATAAGTCAGTTACAGGATTGCAGCTATCCTGTCCAGTGTGGATGCAGCTAATGGAATGCATTAGTGAATCTATGGGGTAGCATTGATCACTTAGCCTATTTGCTTTCCCCTTTCAGTTCCCTGACCCAAAAATGCATTGTAATGGACTGTACCAATATTTGAAGCTATCCTTTGAGCTGTGTCATAAGCATCCCTCCTGTAACTGTTGCCAGTGCACTGGCATCATTTGTTGTCAAGAAGTAAGAAGCAGCATGGGCAGCCTGGCGTGATCTGTGGCTTCCCCTGCTTGAGTTCCTTGGTTTTCCTAATGGAAGGGATGGACGCTTCCAGAGCAAGGGTGTTCCTCCTGCTGGGTGATGGGTGCACATGGCTCTGAGGGATGGGCAGCAGAGGCCTTTGTTTCTGTGCTTCCTGACAGGTTTTCGGCACAACAGGGCACTTGCAGAAAAGGAATGGTACTGGAGAATGTGCCTGGTCCTAACAATCATGTCGCAAATCTTGTGATATTTGGCACGTTCTTAAAGACCTGGCTCTTAGAAGCAGCGGATTAAATAACAATTGCTTCCTTTCTCTTTCAAGCAAGGCTTAGCTCTGTAGTTGCTGAGAAATGCTTGAAATGTGACTTGAGCTGAAAGGAAGAAAAAAATCTTTGCCTTCAAGCCCTCTTCTCATCCCGAAGCTCCCAGTATGGATACATTGCAATGTCAGGAGTTTTATCAATGAAAATGTTTAAAACTATTGGAGGCATTGAGAAGGACATAAAGCATGGCCAACTCTGGATGTGTGGGAGTATTCATTAGTATTTTAAGGAGAGGTTGGTCACATTCTATGCTGAGACATGCTCTTGCCACATTCGGTCCTCTGCAGAGTAAGGAGAAATAAAAATGGGACTGGGTAGCAGAAAGCTGAGTATCTCTGAATGGATTTTTTCCCCCCTTTCTTAGGGAAATGCCTTGGGCTACTCATAATGGAAATTTCTCTTGTTTTTAAATCTTTCTGGTTTTCTCTGTTTCACAAATGTGAAAGCTGAAGCTGCTCATTTTCTGTTGGTTTCTTAATGCAGTTGTTGTTAGCAAATCAGTATTGATTTATTCCTATGAAAATACATCAAGGCTTAAAGTAAAATACAATCCCATTAAGAATAGTACAGGTTTTGCAAATAGAGTAAGTCAAATATTGCACTAATCATCCTAGAGTGTGTCCCTTTAAGCCAAATAGATGTGTGAATACACTTAAACTGTCAGCACATCATTTAATTGCCATTATTATGCATCTTTTGGCATGAGGTGACAGAGCCCTCTGTGGCTGAGCAGGGCTGGAAAACATCAGTTCTGGTGTATTAACTAGGTTGCATTTTACACCTGGGCTACCTGTGTGGTTGTGCATGTTTAAGGATTTTTCCTTTTCCCCCATTGCAACAGTTGACTTCAACTTAAGGAGGAAAGCCACATTATTGTATGCAAGGAACACTGAAGCAATGCAGCACAGGAACACGATTTAAATCTGATCATTAAACTGCCGCAGCAAGAGACTGTGAGAGATGGTGTGGATGGTCCATCTGCAAAATCTGTGCTCCTGTTGTACTAGGAGGAGGGGTGGAGGAGGGAGAATAAGCAGCTGCTTGGCTGTGCTGTGAGAGGGAGAGACTGACTGTTGGCACCATCTGTAGCTGTCCTTTGTGCTTGCTGCTTTATCTGTTCATTATAGTATGATACTGAATTTCTCGTGCTTTGAGTGTAAATGAGTTGAGATGTGCCTAATACTGTCAACATAAAAAGCAGTAACTAAGTACACTAAAGATGAATAGTGTAATCTGTAAATTCATTTTGAGTTTGTTTCATCTTGCTTGAATAGCCCAGGAAGTGATGTTCTCCAGAAGCCAGCTGTACCAGATGTGTTTGTGGGGGTAGAGCAGTGGAGGTGAATGGAGCAGAGCAGAAGGGGGATGGCCCCAGCGTTTCCAGCAGAGAACAGACTGAGAGGGTTCTTGCTGCTGCTGAGCAGGATAAGAGGGGGGCTGGCAAATCCTAAGGTACCTACAAACAGCTCTCTTTTCATTCTATGCGCAAACACCGAGGCAGGGAAGAGAGTGATTATTATATACGGTAGATGAGTTGAAATGTCCCGAGGGAGGAAAGGTTAAACCTTTCTGTAATGAGTGCTGTGATAGGGATGAGTAAATTTGTTACGTTTTATACCTGCATTCTCTTAGTTTCTACAAACATGAGTCCTCTCCAGATAACTTGTAGAATGAAATGGTCCAGATTATCTTGAGGGCCTCTTTGTTCTTTGATGGTTACATTTCACCTTTATGAACATGTATTGGATATAGCTAATAATAACAACTCATTGAAATCTTTTCTTCACCTCACCAAAGCAATGTTCTCTCATTGGCATATTGTTTTCCAGGAGTTACTCTGCTATTTTCCCAAGCAGGTTTGTTTTTTTGTTTGCAGATCCTGCCCTCAGACCCATCAGGTTGCTGCTTTTTATCCTATTTGTCAAGTGCATACAAGTGTATAAAGGTGTGCGGAAGGAGCAACTCCCTCCTCCCATCAAAGCCTCATTTAAGATGGACGATTCCCATTTGACACCATAGTAATTACCCTTGGCTGTGGAAGCATTCAGCATCCACTATTATTCTGCAAATGCTGTGCTCAGTGTTCTGCAGAACACTGTGTTTCTCAGAGCTCAAGTGGCTGTGGTGCACGGGAATAAACCCTGCAAGGCAGGGATTTGTATCTCCAGCCGGCTGGAAAAGGGGGAGGGGGGCCTTTGTCACTGGCACATTAGTAATGATATGCCAGGGATAAAAGGTGAGTATAATTTGATCAAATGCTTTTTGACAGATTCCTTGGCTAACAGAGAAGCAGCTTAGACTGACACTCGTCGCTGGAGCATTTCATGGAGCTCGGGGGAATGCTTTCTGTGGGCTACATGTGAGGTTAACAGTTTCCGAGTGACCATATTTAGTTACATAAAGAAGTGGTGTCCCCTTTTTATCACAGCAGAGCTCTAAAATGCCTCCCTAAACACTGCTCTTGACCTTCAGCTTGATAAACGCAATGAAATTACTACATCTCCTTTGTCCAGATGTGTGATTAGTTCACTGGAATGGCCTGGGCTTTAAGTATTTTTCTTCTGTGGCCATTAAACTTGAGAAATTTCAGTTGTTTCTTGTACTGAATAATAATATTTGTAGGTGTTCTTGGGCAAATCAGGTTCCTTTTCTTTTCCCCTAGGAATACTACTTTACAATTAGTGTTTGAAATTTGTTCTACTAAGTATGTATTAACAGTACCTGTGAGTAGCTACTAGCAAAAGTGTTGTACCCTGAAGGGATAGTTTGTAACTGCTTATGATTGTGTTATTTGGTGAAAAGACAACCATTAGAAAAATAAGACATTAGAATAAAATCCTCCATTTTGGTGAATTGCGTACTTGTCTGTTTTAAACCAGCAAGCCTAAAATTACATGTAGAGCCCTCCTACTCTAAACCACTGTGGCAGTTTATGTTTTGACTAGTCTGGTTCTCACCTACTTGTGCGATCTATTGATTTGTGTTCAGTTCATCACATCTCAAGAAAGCACTTAGTTAAAATTTAAATACAAAACATTTTCTGGTTCTGAGGGTTTTGTGAAGAATGCTTTAAAGAAGGAAAACCATAAGTGCTTCCTATTGAGAATGTTTCTTCAACTGCCAAATTTTGCAGTTAGTCTGCACTTTGTTCTGATGAGACTCGCATCATACCTTGGTAACTCTTTACCTGAGCCACTTATGATTCAGGCAGCTTTGAGGCTCAGGTGGCTGTTACTGAAGTGGGGTGTCTTGACAGGCTGTGCTCACAAGAGCCAGATTTCATCACAGTCAGCTTCTGGAGCTCTGCTTGCTGCTGACTTTGCTGGTGGTTGCTCTAACTGAGTGTGGGTGCGTAAGGGAGAGGCCACGTTTTCAGAGATAATGACCCTTTTCATGTGTTCAGAGGAAGCTGCAAGCTTTCTGTCCCTCTAGGAAATCTCTGTATCTTCATAGCTCATAAGAGTGATTTTCTTGTAAGCGCAGAATTACCCTAATTGATGAGAAGATTAGGCACATAATGGAAATAGAGATTTAAGGGTTGTGTTGGGTCAAATACAGATTTAAGTGCCCAAGTTTGTATCCATACATCTATATGGCCATGTTCTCCTGTTTATCTATTTAAGACTGGTAGCTGATAGCAGTTTTGGAAATTAATTCCTGCACATGGGTTCCTCTTTATGGCTCTCCAATTAAGCTTTTGCACAAAAATAGCCAAACAAAACAAGAGATCTTGTTCCTTGATCCTCTCTGTGAATGATGCCTTCCGTATGTCTTTGTTATATTTCCATTAGTATGAAATGAATTCTTCTGCATCTTTTTTCCCTTCACAACATCTGTCCTATATACTTGTGCCTCATCCGTTCTTCATCTCTGTGCCACTGAGCTCGGACAAGTTCTCTCATGCTTTCTGGGCTGTGCAGAATATTTGTAACTTGTGTAAAACATTATAATGATAGTGTGGGGCAATTACAGGCTCAATTTAATAGGATGATAATTTGAGTGCTGGTTCATGGACAAGCTTTTCACTCCTGGTGTTTGACTGTTCAGACTGTGACTTCTGTTACAGTAGCTTGCATCCTCACTCAACTGTGCTGGTTCCTCAGTTGTACACTCACTTTCACTGTGTTCTCTTTGCACAGCGCTGCTTTCGTCGTGGTGTGAGGAGCTGGGACGGCTCTTGCTGCTTCGCCACCAGAAAAGCCGGCAGAACGATCCTCCAGGGAAGCTACCTATGCAACCCCCCATGAACTCTATGAGCTCCATGAAACCCACCCTCTCTCATAGGTGAGTCTCAGCCTGGTCTGTAGGAGTGGCAGTCTGTACAGATGTACCACTTGACACATCTGTTAATTGAAATGCTTATTACTGTTGATGGAGGTAGCTATACTGTTTCGTGTGCTGAACAGCACTACAGGCAACGGGGGATCTGTAATTACAGCAAATACTAAATAAACTTAGATTTTGTCTTTGCTGTTGCCTGATGCATAGTGAAGTGATGCTTCCATCTTCAAATCTGTGGTTAGATGAAGTGGGCTTGCTTTCAAACTTCAAGTTGTGCCCCAGAGATGAAGTGTCTCTCACCAAACATATTCTTACTGTATATCTAAATAAGCTGGCTTTTCTTGAGGTTATAAACATTTCACTGATGTTCTATTTTTTAAGTTGCCTTGGAAATGTATTGTATACAAGGCAGCTGTATAGATGGGAGAGTGTCCTATGCCGCCTTATATGAGGTGAGGATCACAAAACACTTAGTTAATTTAGAGAAAACATGAGCATTAAAGGACACACCAGAAGAAGCTGAAGATGTGTTGCCTTTGATTACAAAATTATGTGGAAAAACAGTATTTATATTTCTTGTCTGGGAAGCCTGGGACAAGGCAAAAGCCGAAGAGTAAGTGTTGACAGGATTAAACATTCATTTTATTCTTTACGTTTCTGAGAGTTTTTTTCTGAGGCTTTCCCCAAAGCATCACATTAAAGAAATCACAAATAGTATAAATCGGTTTTAGTGTAGGACACTTTTGCTAGTATAGGATTGTAAAAGTGCAAATAAGGCTGAATTCCTTGCACCTAGATTTTATGGTAGTAAGAGTAACTTGAACTTTTGTGTTAGAATGGAGCTTAGGGACATCTTTGTAGCAGTGCATTTGCACATGTGAATTCATCTGGAAAACACTTTTGATTTAGGGTTGTTTGGTCTTTTTTTCCTTATTTTTGTTGTATTTATGGGGAAAAAAAAACCCCACAAAAACATGCAAATACTGTGCCTTTTATTATAGCCCTTAAGTCCTTTTTTGTATTGTAACTAAGGTAGTATCGCTGACTTTTCAGAGTACCTGGACTGCCTCTTTCGTTAGTTGTTTATGAAATGATCAATTGTGAACACACTTAGAAAAAATCTCCAGAAAATCTTCTGTTCTAAAATAACTTACCTTTATACCTGAGAGAAGCTTTGCAGAAGCCAAGGTGAAATTAGTGGCCAGTCTGCAGAGAAGGTGTAGTGCAGTGTTTGTGATCTCTAAGGTGTAGTTTTGTAGTTATGAGGTGCCTGATTCTCATCCAACCTTGTAGCTTCTGTTCCCCTAGAGTCTGTCTACAAGGTAAAGATGAAGGCATTGTTCCATCTCATAGGGGCTGTGTGCTACATTAGAGAAGATAGGTACAACTCTCTTATTTCGTGGCAGTTTTCTGCTGGAAGTCTGTCATAAGTTAAAAAAATAAATAGTTTATTCTGCTAAACCTAAACACTGGCATTTCTGGCAATACCAGGTTTTGAAATATTCTGCCTAACAGTAGAATATTGTGCCCGGTATAAAACAGTTCTTGTAAGTTTCTCTTGAGTATTGCCCTCAAAATGCTTTATCGAGGACACTGGGAATCAGTTTCAAATTACTGCTGTTTACCTATGAGATGCCCCTGTAGGAGCATAATTTCTGTGGTATGACTTCTTATCTATAGTAGCTGCAGCAGGCACTTAGGGGTTTGGAATACCTGCATCGCTGCTTCCGTGCATGCCGTTGTCTCGTCTGTGATTTAGCCATAACTATGACTGTTCAAAATCTCGCAGGTTGTACATTAGGTTGGGACATCTTGTTGCTTTCCAACTTTTTTTTTTCTACTGGAACTGTTTATTTTAATGGATGTTTTATAAGCATTCTGTAAGACAGCAAAATAGGAGGTAAAAAAGAATTGAGTTTTCTGTTTGAATTAAACTAAAGATAGAAAGCCATTAAGTACAATCCCAGTGGTAAAGTTGTTGGAGCAAAATATGTATTTGCATTAGATTACAGTTGGGTCAAAAGCTTAGTATTAAAGTTCACAGTATCTTTTCTGTAATTCACAAGGTTTTTGTGTGAATTCAAACAAAAAAAAGAGTATCTTTTGCATTTTCTACAAGAAATTAGTGTAGCCAGCTAACTCATGTTTTGTAGAAGAATGGCATGATAAATTTTAATAGCCAAGAGCATATTCAAGAACCTTACATATCTTAACAGAGGGAATATAGGATTTATGTCAGTTGCTGACTATCACAAGCCAAAAAACCAAGAAGACAACCAAGCAGCTCTTTCTCTGTCATCAGGCTATCTTGGGTACTACACACAGAGTTTTTTCTGCTGTTGCTTTTACTAGCAAGAAAATTACCCAGAACTCTCCTCAGGTACTAGAATCTCAATGTACCTGGCACTACAGAAGCATAGCTGCTTAGTCTCAAATTTGAAACAGGGCTTGGCTATTGAAAATAAATTCTGACTCAAGAATATATCACAAGAATCTAAATTGAATAATTCGTATTTAAGAAACTGTGAGCACGTACACTGGAGAGAATTCAGATTTGGCCTGTTTTTAGAGACAACCTGTATTTTTGAAAGGTTAATTTAGTTGTGGCAGAAAACTGAAGTGGACAGATCAAGGAGGGCTTTGATAGCAATGCTGTTGCGTCAAATGTACTTACAGAGAGCAGAATATGAGCCATGCAAGGATGTGCACACATGCTACAAATGCTTTCAGAGTAGGGACTGTATTGTGCTCATTTCTTTCTAAATTCAGATTTTCAGTAACAGAATGATAGCATGTTGTGTCTGGAACAAAAATTCAGCTAAATACCTACTTCCTAGTGTAGGGCATTTGGTTGGACTACAAACTCCTGTGCTTTATGAGCAACATAAACACTGGATTCTCAACTCTTTCAACCTTATCTTTTGTTTTAAAGTCAATGCAATGTAATAATTTTTAGCTCAAACTTGAATGTGAGATTCATTGATTTTTAAAATTTTATTTTACCTTTAGACTTTTTTACTAATTCATGTGGGTAAACTTCACTAGTAGGAGACCTATCCGCATCCTTAATACTGTATAACTTCTAATTTATGTCCTATGTAAAGGGTTTACAGGAGGCTTAAGGAGAACCTATATGGCCTTTCTGGATAGGAGTGAAATTTCATGTTTTCTAGCTTCCAGGGAGTCATGGAACTCCTTTGTGTTCCATGTATTTTGTATTTTTCCAATCTGACATAATGTCTCTAATAACACAGTACTTAAGGTGGCTGTTTTTTTTAAATTCTAAATGAATATAAGGTCTTTGGTAAATGTTGTTTTATAAGTACAAATTATTGTCATTATACACGTTCCTTTGCTTTGATCATGTTCCTTCTTAACACTTCCTTGCGTTAGGTGATGAACCTTTGTACGTGTATCAAATGGAATCCTGGTTGAATAGGTTTCCAACAATCCCAGTGGAAACTGCACCCTAGCTCAGCTTAGGGTGGAATTTACCCTTGCAAGCCCTAAGGAACTTCTCTTTTCTTGCATAGCTTGTAGTAAATCTTAGATGACAAAAACACCAGAAAACAGACAGCTGTTAGTTACAGTTCGGTATGTTGTCATGAGTATTTGTCGGGATCTTGCAGCTGTCTTGCAGGTAGTGACCAAGGGGTAGTAGTATCTGTATAGGGTGGTCAAGATTGGTGAAAATTGTGAAGATAAAATTATTTTTATCACAAGTTACTTAGTGCCAGAGGTTTTGAGAAAATTAAACAGCAGATACAATTAAATAGTAATTCAATATTACAGTAGGTGCTTTATATATTGTCATTACTGGTTTATGTTCAGGCAATCTCCATAAATACCTTTTACTGGTTAGACTTGCTTTACAATGATGCTTATTTTCACTGTTTCTTTTGTCCCTTTTTTCTTACAATGTAAGCTTTTCTAAGAACTGAACTTTCAACATTGGTAGGAGCTCTTGGAAAAGAATGGTAATTCTGTGTCTGAATTTTTACTGGGGGGTTAGGATAGGCTCTTAGTTTGTTAAGAATGAGGAGTGTTCTGATTATGATGTACTAGCAGAACCAGTGTCAGAGTCGCTGCAAAGGTTGCTGCCATTTCAGTTTTGCTATCGTAGGTGGTTTTGACCAACAGTGATAGCCACCTTAATGTCTGGATAAGAGAAATGGTTAAGGTGAAAGGTCAAGTCCAGCACAAACACTTTTAGGAAAATGAACACACTGTGTATATACTATATATCAGTCTGAAGTGGAGTATCACACACACTGCTGCATGTGACTGTAGCATACAGGAACAACCTTTGCAAAAAAATTTCAAAACTCTTTAGGTGAAAGATAACATTGTTTGAAAGCCTTTTCATCTTTCAGTTTGTGAAGTTGTGAAATAAACATAATTAGGGACTGAACAGATGGTAAATCCTAATATAAGAGAATATATCCATTAAAGTAACCTGTATTATTCCTGATTCTGCAAGAGAAGCTTCTGTTTTTCTTCTGTCTTCCTTTCTGTCAAGAAATGTTAAAATCCACCATCAGGAGAAAATAAGATAAAAGTTCAGAATCCAAAAATATTGGTGCAGAAGTGCCATTTCTTAGAGAAAACCAAACAACAAAACAAAAACCCTTAAGATTTGTTCAGAACAATATTAAGTAAGGCCCAATGCTCTAAGCATTGAGAAGGCAAAACTTAATTGCCCAGAAGTACTGTCCCAAGACTTGCTTTCCCATCTTCTCCTCCAGGTGAAACACCAAATACTAGTTTTAGTGCATACACTTATAGGAGGTGGAAGAAAACCTTGAAAGAATGTTGAAGCTAAAAACAAATTTATTGTTATTCTGTAGTTGAAAACTGATAATGGGTAACCATTAGCTGTTAATAATGAAACCTGTAATATTTTCATGTGAAAAATCTGCGTTGCATTTTAGCTGAGAAAAGTTTGTCATCAGTTCTTGTGGTAACAGGAGAGATTGAGAGATGCTCTCTGAAATCAGTAACGT